GTACATACAATACATAAATAAATATTTTTAAAAAAGTGTTTTCTTTCATGTCTGGAGACTAGCTCTGGAAACAGTCAAGTAAGAGGCTGCCATTCTGATCTTTAAATGTAGCTGTTCTGGGGTCCCTCAAGTCGTGTCCTAGTGAAGTAACTCTGCCTTTAAAAATGTATTGCTCCTGAATTAAATTTACTGGTATGCTGGGCGGTGATGTCACATGTCTTTAATCCCAGCACTCAGGAGGCAGAGGCAGGTAGATCTCTGAGTTTGAGGCCAGCCTGGTCTACAGAGCGAGCTCCAGGATAGCCAGGACTGCACAGAGAAACCCTGTTTTGAAAAACCTAAATAAATAAATAAGATTTAGTGGCAAGCTGTTGGTCACCCCTGAACTACGTAAGAGAGGGGAGATGTGAAATGTTTTCGGATGGCTTTTACTGCCACACCCATAGCCCAGGCCCTCTGCTCTCCATAAACCTGCAGAATGTATGCACTTTGTTAACATGCAACTTTTGCATTCAGAAGCAGCAAATTAAATTTATCTGAGCAGAATTGCTGTGTGCATGAAGGGGAAAAGTAATTTCTTCCCAAGCAGTTCCCCTGTCTCCTGCTCCTAGCACAGGCTGTTGTAATAGAAATGGGGCTGAGGATGGCAGCGGAAACCTAGGAAGAGACAGACGCAAGATGCTGGGTTCTGGCAGCATGGGTTTGTAAACAAAGTGGCACAAATTGGGACAGAAATTCCAGTGGGACCAAGCAAGAGACTGGAAGACTGGAAATATAGCACAAAGCCGAATCCTATCCAGATGGTGTTTTTAATAAATTTATCAGGTTCATATGAAAGACAGTAATGAACTTCTAAACAGAAAGTGGCCCAACCTAGGGAGAGCAGCTGTGCACTGTTCCTGTGTTGCATCTCGGTAGAGACGCTCTCCAGTTCTTAGCACAAAGACCCCAGAATGTATTTGATCCTATGTATTAAGCAGGCCAGGTAGGCAAGCTGAGGCTTGCATTTTTAGGAGAAGAATTAATAATCCAAGAATTTAGCCAGGCAGGACAGCCAGGGCTCTTACACAGAGAAACCCTGTATCAAAAAACAAACAAACAAAAAAAGACCCACTCCTGCAACGATCACAATAAAAGCAATTTCTAAATTTATTTTTTTTTAAAAAATCCAAGAATTTTCTGCTGAAATGGAGGAAGTAACCGCTAAATGTTGGTGTGGTCAGTGGTGACATTTGGGACAAACCTTTCCTGTCACAGCTTCTATAATCTGATCAGCTTGGGAGAGGAGAAAGGGTATGACCAAAATATATTGTATGAAAATTTTTTTAATAAATTTAAACCTATAAAAGTAATAACCTGAAGAAAAACAGATAAAAGACCTTTTATGACTTTTAAAGCCACGCTGTAGTCTGTATTCCTTCCTTCCTTCCGTTTTGTACTTCTAAGTGGTTTCGATAAGTACTTTGCCATTAGTGTCCAGACTTTTATACATGGGTCAGATTTTGACAAAACAAGCTATGAGGGCAGACGGGCCAAGTACGACCTACATAGCAGCTCTCCTGCCATGGTCACTGGCCCCTTCTCTCTAGGTCGGGATCCAGAGATTGACCATGCCTTACTTTCCTAAGGAAACTTCCCCCAAGAAGGTGGTGCTCTTCTACTTTTCTGTGACTTAAGATCTGTGTGGCTTTGGATAGGAGCTTGGTTAATGAGGTCAAGTAATAAGCCTCACAGAGCAACAACAACAACAACAACAACAACAAAGCAGCAACAGTTCCTGCCCTGGGGAAGCTCAGTACACCTCTCATTGTCAGTCCAGCCAGAGTCACGTACCAGCGTGGCTATTAAGGATTGGGACAAGCTGAAGTGATTATTATTTCCACACTGTAGCGGTTCACAGAAGGCCATCACCGATGGGTTCTGGACCCAGATGCTGTCCTCTCCATTCTTTTTCCTGCCGTCATTTGCTCTTTGCGTTGATTGAGACCAAAAAGTAGGAGTGAGATTAAGAGAGGTGGTAATGTTTTGATGCTGTGCTCTAAGAAGCAGGAGGTGGGGTTGGCCACCAAGGAGCCGTTAGTGTTCTAAGAAGACGCGTGGGCATGAGTAGAAGACACTAAGGCCATGGTTGTGTGTGCCCATGCTGTGTGCCCATGTGTCCTGTGCTTGGCTTCTTCTACAAGCCTAACTGTGAATGTCTGTCCTGGCCTAGCTCCCAGTGAGCACAGGCTCATGCCAGCTGTGGCCTGTGATAGTCCCTGATATCCATGCGTGATCATGTCCCATCATCCAGGGACAAAATGTTGAGGCAACAAAGTACAGTGTAGATGGAAACTAATGCACTCCGTAATCAGCAAAGACAGCTAGGAATACTGAGTTGTCTCCCAAGGTTGTGAGCATTTAAGTGATTGGGTGTGTGTGTGTGTGTCAGACTCACCATCTTTCTCATTTTTATAAAATATGTGAAAACATTTAAATATTCCTGTGTAGAAAACCCACAAGAACTATGCGTGTAGGGTTTAGAGAGCAGAAGCATGGGCTCATTGGTCAGGAAACAGAACATTACCAAACCTCTGAAAAACCTCCTTTAATAACCCAATTAACAGAAGGAATGGAGGAAATAATAGAGAGAAGAGCTTAGTGAAGCTGAAAACAAAGAACAAAGTTGAAGTGCTGGTTCAAGAAAACCCTACATGTACAGGAACTGATGAAAACTGAATGTGTAATAGGAAAACAGAAAAATAGGCAGTTCACAGGAGAAAGACTGAGGGTCATTTTATAGGGCAACGGGAAAATAAAGTTCATTTGGCAAAGGCGAGAAACAAAAGCTACACCGATGGACCAATCACTCCTGCTCGTTCATTCAACTTTCCAAGAGTTGCTGAGGAAATGGAACAGTGAGTGGAGAGTGTAAACTTCACAATTCGCTTGCTAACTGTTTGGTCAGATCTATGGAAGTTGAAGGTTGTATATCTATAGCACCATATTCCACCATACCCATGAGTGTAATTCTGTTTCCACACATTTTTATATATGACTGTACATGTATGTGTACACATTGACATATTCCTTTAAAAGAAAAAGCCTCTTATTCAGTAACTTAAAAGACACTTTTAGATTGTCATCTACCGTTACGAAGAAATGTCCCTATGCAGATTACATTTTGTAATATCCATAGATTATAGTATTTTATAGACTTTAAGCAAGTGACCAAATATACCTGCCCATGAAATGTTTTACTCCTGACTTAATGTCTGTGGCAGATGTAACACTCAGTGTTGGCTCTTGAGCACCTGTCTTTTACACAGGACTGGATGGCTTTCTGCCCTCCTTTAACCTCAAGTTCAGTAAGGTCATGTAACTTGCACTGGCCAATGGGCTGTGAGTAGAGGGTTATGTTACCTTTGGGAAAACATTTTAAGACTGAAACTGTTGTTCTGGGACCTTGAGGGACATGATCCGCAGAGCCACCTGGCTGGATTGGGTAGAACTTGGGTGGGGATGATGTGTGCAGCACTGTGTCCCTGAGGACCAGGGCTCTGTGTTCCTGCCAGGCTCCTTCAGTGTCTGAGCCCTGCTCCCAGTGCTCTGCATCCTGAAATCACAGAAGACTCCCCTCTCCCAGGAAACAAAGGGGCACCAGTGTCTACCGTACCCTTTAAGGAGACCATTCACCTAGGGAGTCCTAGGGAAGCTGGGCGCGGTGGCACACGCCTGTAATCCCAGTACTCGGGGAGGCAGAGGCACTCGGATCTTGGTGAGTTTGAGGCCAGCCTGGTCTACAAAGTAAGTCCAGGACATCCAGGGCTATACAGAGAAACCCTGTCTTGGGGGAGGCAGGCAGGGAAGGAAGAGTCCTATGGAGCTTTTCCCTGAGCCCTCTTTGTGCAAGGACACTGTCCTTACTGAGAATTGCAAAAGCGTTTTTACTGTGGAGTCAAGGGATTCATCACCCACTTCCTCCCTGCATTCCTTATTGGTGGTGGTCTTCCTTCTCTGTGGAGAGCAAAGCAACTAAGCTGACAATAACCAGCACAGGCTTGTCCAACTTTGAAAATACAGTCATTGTTTAGAAGATGACATAAAGGTGTTTGCTTGTACCACTGTAAAGTTAGACTGTTCTGGACTGCACAATGGTGGTGCTATTACTCACCATCTTTTCTGAGTGGACAACGTAGAGTTTGGTGAAGTGACGTAAGTGTTTAAAGATTGTAGATTGTGATCAAAATTTTGAATACACAGCCGAGAACTTCCCACATCCTTGACTTTCCTCATCCATATCTTAGTGCTTTGAGAACCTCCGTCATGTTGAACAGCTGTTGTTTTGTTGGAGCCCTTGACTTCTATCAGTGAGCAGGTTGATATGGACTTAACGTCTAGAGGGAGACTCAGAACCACAGTGCTGCTTTGTCAAGGTCCCCTGTGTGGCCACACAGCAAACAGTAGACGCACTGGAGCAGTTGGCTGGAGCCAACAGTGTGTCTGAAAAGGAACTGATACCAATGTCCTGGGCCCCTTTCCTGCTCTACAGAGTCTAAGTTGCTGGATGGATAAGTTTTCCAGCAACATGTATGAAGCTGTCACTCACTGGTCCCTCCTGGTTGCTGGCCAGGGCACAGCGTAGTGATAGAACACCTTCAGAGAGTGCGCAAGGCCCCAGTTCAACCCCCAGACACACATGAAAACTCTATCTGAAGCCCTGAATAGTTCCTCGCTGAGTTACGTTTTACGGTGTAGTTCTGCATTGTGTTACCGTGTTTTATGGTGAATACTTGAGAATGAATCGCTACATATGGTTTGGATATTCCAGCCCGAAGTTCAGCTTTTGTTTGTCTAATTATTTGGCATGGAAACTCTTATCTGAAGATAATGGCGATGTTCAAGTTTCCCTTTTATTGTTGATTTGAGATGCTAATTAATTAATTTTGTTCTGAGCATGCTACAGGGATATATTTGGCTCCTCTTATCCTAATGCTAGATCTTGTGCTTTGCGTTTACAGTTCCCGTGGAGAATGTTGCAACGATTGCCGATTGTGCCAGTGTGATTGAAGGAGTCAGTCGGAGCCGAAATGCCTTGCTGAATGGGGACACTAAGAATTATGACTGGGACTCTGGCTACACGTGTCACCAGCTGGGGAGTGGTGCGATTGTGGTTCAGCTGTCACAACCATACATGATTGGGTCAATACGGTAAGATTTCTTTGCATTTGTTAGTTCAAAAAATGAAAATACACATGATCACTGCTGGCTTCAGAGAAGAAACTCTCCTATGTATAAACCCTAGAGGCTGGGCAGGAGGGCCAGCTGTCCGTATGGAGTTTTAGTGGGGAGCTACATTAAAATTAGACTTGAAGTCGGTGTTGGGGGAGAGGACTGAATAAGAGGACTCTCTCTTAACTATCTGCAGCCTTAAACAGGTGATGTTGAGAGGCAGTGTCGATAAAAAGCTATTTTCAGCTTCAGTAAACAACTTTGTATATGAACCAAAGAAACCCAAATGTGAAGCCTAGTTCTAGATAACCTTTAAAGTGGCCTTGAGTTTCTTCTTGACCCATTTTGTTTTAAGAAATGAACTTTAACTTTGGTTGACTTGTAGGATTTTATTAGTTTTCAAGTCTGAAACTGATGAACCCCCCTTGCGAAAGTTGGTTCTCAAGGTCATTGGGTCTCAAGTAGATACTTTTTGGTTTTCTTGAGGCAGGGGTTTTCTGTGTAGCCTGTGGCTGTCCTCGACTCACTTTGTAGACCGGTCTGGCCTCAAACTCACAGTGATCTGCCCACTTCTGCCTCCTGAGAGCTGGGATTACAGACGTGGGCTACCACGCCTGGCTGATACTATTTCTTTTCATTTGTCTGCTTTCCGCTCTCCTTCCATCTTCTCCCTCCCCATCCTCTTCCCTTCTCACCTCCCCTCCATTCTCTTCCCCTCCTGCCCTTCCCCTTTTCTCTTCTCCTTTTCTTTCTCATTCTCTCCTTCCATCCTCTCCCTTTCTACCTTCTCCACCCTCTCCCCTTCCATCCTGTTTCCCTCTCATCCTGTTCACTCCTCTCCTATACCCTCCTCTCATCTCCCATCCTTTACTATCCCTTCCCCTCTGTCCTCTTCTCCCTTGGTCCTAAGAAGGCCTTTGAAGGGCTCATATTGGGAACTAAGTGTCTGCCTCAGTCTGTAGAGGTGCTGGCACGTCGTGATTGACTGCCCCTCACAGAGTTCTTCTACACTCGGCTCGCTCTTCCCTGCTCTCTTCGTAGACAGTCTATAGGAAGAACGAACCAGCACAGGACAGCAGAGGTAGGCACACGCCTGTTGGTGCTCAGGACAACAACCACAGCTTAATGCTGCTCTGTGATTCCTACTTGTGTCGATGAGTTGGCGCAGGACATCTTGCATTGAGACGATTAGATTTCTTCACTTCAGCTAACCCCATTTCATCAAGAGTCACATCATAGGCCAAGTATCATAGGAGCTGAAATGGGGGGAGGGATGTCAGCACTAGGGGCCAGATGAACTCATCAGCCGTACTCTTACCATTTTCTGGGCTGTGTGCACTCACTGTGCGCTCTTGCTGTCTACACAGTAGGCATTCTAGGACTCTGTCATGGATGATGTAAACTGTGCCTGTGTCTCCCAATAGAGTTTGTCCCTCCTCACAAATGTGCTAACAGTTGTCCTTCTCTTGTCTTCTGGTGCCATCTCCCCTACAATTTCTTGAAGATTACCAGTCGTGTCTCTGAGATTACATCTGCAATTTCTTGTAGCGGGCTGGGAGTGTAACTCATCTGAGCCAGAAGAGTTGAAATCATTTAAATTGACTAGACACTCTTTTTGCTCCACCTATTTGGGACTTCAATTTTCTCTTTATTATGTTTGTTCTGCCATTTCTAATTTGAAGACCAGTCTTCTTACCAATGAAGATGGAAGCAAACAGGCAACTTAGTACCTCTGTCTACTCTCCTCTAATGGCTTCTGCATCCCCGGTCACTTACCTAGCAGTGGGTACCCTTCCCTTCCTTCCACCCTACCCCTGCCTGTCTGTGTCCTTGTGTGTCTCAACCCACGCCAGCTAAAATGAAATTCCATTGTCTTTCCCCTTCCTGTCTCAGTCACCTTACCTCAATATTGCCCAATATTCATCGTCAGTTCAGTGGTTCCACACACTTTTGGAGCAAGCCAAAATCACAAGGCCCTTCCGAAATTTGCTTCTTATCTCCTCCTCAATGGCCAGAGGTTCTGGTAGTGCTGCCTCCTGAGAACTCCCAGAGTTCTCCCTTCTCCACTGTCCCACTGAGGGACACTTTCACAGTGTCGCCCTCTGCCTGATCTCCATTTGACCCTGTCTTCCCCACCACACCATTCCCAACTCCATTTCCCCACAGCAGGTGTTGTAAGGCCAGAGGAAAGGGAAAGTACTGTTAGTGACCTCTGTTCCCGCCTGACCTCCTGTGTCTCGTCCTCCTCAGCCACCCAACTGCTGTTTCAGTGCTTCTGTGGGTGCTGTGCTCCTTTATACTTCATGCCTCTGAGTCTTGGATCAGACTGATCTCATCACTTAAAATCTTCCTCCCTTTGTACTCTGTCTTTGCTATTCCAGTATTCCAGTGGGAATACTGGCCCAACCTCCCATATCCTCTGTGCTTACTGAGAAATACCCTCCATCTTGCTTATGATTTCTTTTGATATGATAAAACACCAATGACTGAAAGCAACTTGGGGGGTAAAAGGATTTTTTCCAGCTTACAACTCTTGGGTCACACTTCATCACTGAGGGAAGTCTGCGCAAAAAGTCAATTCAGGAACTGAAGAAAAGGCCATGGAAGAATGCTGCATACTAGCTTGCTCCTAATGGCTTGCTCAGCATGATTTCTTACACAGCTCTCACCTGCCCAAGGGTAGCACTGCCCACAATGGGCTGGGCCCTCAATGGGCTCTCCCACATCAATCGGTAATTAAGAAAATGCCCCAATGGCATACCCCCAGGCAAGTCTTATGGAGGCATTTTCTCGAATAAGATTTCCTCTAGGTTTGTATTATCTTGCCAAAGCCAACTGGTATACCTCCATCAAACACTTATACCTGTTGCAGAGCTCCTGTCATTTCTGTTAGTTGTTTTCCTGTTGATTCCCCCAGTCTTGCTTGCTGCATGAGGCCTGAGACAGCTCAGAATAAGTCTTTCTTGTGCCAGGTTGAGTATGCCCTGAGGAAGTCTTTGAGGACAGAGAGGATTATGGCAGGTTTAAGAGGAAATTTACAATTTTAGATCAAGCAGATCCCTATGAGATGGTTGCCAGGGTGACAGCTCAACAAGCAAGGACTGGTCCTAGGGCGCAGCCACCCTGGCCTCCAGCGTTTTCAAAAATTTGAATTCTGTCTCTGTGTCAAGAAGAGTGTGTTACTGGGCTCCAGGCAGACAGACTGGGCCCACCTGGTTTTATCTAAGTGTGGGATGAAAATGGTTACTCCAAACAATTTCTTTTTTCCTGACTCAGACTAGACACGATGAGCAGGCATACAACCAGAGGCAAAATTGTCTATCTCAGCACAGTGTGGCGCCTCTAACTTCCTGAAGCCTTGCTATTGTTTCTGCAGTGAGAAAATCCATTCAGCCGGAGTGCTGTGTAACTAGCCAGGCATTCAGAGAGACACGTCTCGGTGAAGCTAACATTATGTTGTCAGGAACTGCACTTGCCTCTTCTGTGACATTATTAAGAAGAAAGGGAGGGGGGTTTCCTGGCCACCAATGCCCGTGGACAATGCTGGGTATCTCAGCAGACTGCAGTTACAGGAGAAGCTGTTTCCAGATAGACATTTCTTGATAGGAAACTAGATCAGTGGCACCTTTTCCTGGGAGTGGGTAATTGACCAGCAACGGGCTGATTAGTCCGTAGCATTTGACCCACATCTTCTATTGCTCATGATGACCAAGTTGTTTTCCTAGTCACTGTATCCGTAGCCACCCAGTGATTTGGAATCCACACCTACTCGGCAAATGTTACAGGGCTGAGATTCTTTCTCCACAGACAAATTGTTGCAGAGCTGGGAACCTGGAAACCTACCTCCCCTGTCATATAAGCTTTGAAAATACGGGTTTCTTTATAGTTGTTGACTATCAGGCAAGGGTCTCAATTGTTGATGTTCTTAATTCCTCATATGGTTTGTAGGGAGCTGGGGATGAGATCTTTCATTGCCTCCCGAGAGCTTGCCATGTGGCTAGGCAGGCAAGCAGAGCCAGGTTTCCGGCAGAGAGAGTACCTGTGCTCCAGAGTCAGCAGAGCCCAGTCCTGCAAATGTTTCTGGCATGGGTAAGAACCCTGTGCTCTCCTGGGGAGGGTAGCTGGAAAGATGCTCTCTGACCGCCCTGTCCCTTCATTTTCTTCATTATTCAGAAAATGGCTTAGCTTTTTTCTGTGTATCAAATACTGTGGTCGATGCTGAGGATACAGCATTGAGTAAAGAAGCCAAGCACTGGCATGCTTTTAGAGCTGGCATTCAGGGCAGAGACACAAGCAGGAAATAAGCATGGAAGTGTGCTACAAGGAAATCAGAAGGCTGTGAGGAAAAGGAGGAAACAGAGAAGGCAGGGAGTGAGTTAGGTCTTAGACTGGGTGGTCAGAGAACTTTCACTGAGAAGGGGACACGTAAAAAGAGCGGTAAAAGCAGGCATCCCTGGAGATCCAAGGAGAGTGCCAAGGACTGGAGGAGGGAGAGAGAACAGGAGACAAGGCCTGGGAGATTTGGGGGTGACAGCCAGGAGGAGATTTGTTGCTGTCTTTCTACACTCAGCACCAATGCCTGCCCAGACCACTTCCTTCCTATGGCATTCCCATTCCAGGCTTCATGAACGTCATTGTGAGAGAGGAAAAGGAGATGCGAGCCCCAAAAACAAGGCCCTGGAGGTACCTTCCCTGCCTCCATTCTTCAGCTGCTGGGAGAGCCAGCTTCCAGCCATTACCTTTGGCAGGGCACGCCCCCAGGGCAGTGTGCCTGGAAACAAAGCAGCTGGTCCCTGTTGCTAGGCTTTCATGCACTGCAGAATTTACTCACTTTTAGGAGGAGCGAGAAACTACCTGGAATGTGCCTTAGAAGCAGTTAATTGAGTAGTAATTATATCATTTTCATGCCATTTTAAAAACATTAAAGTTTAAATAACAGGAAATCTTTAGAGGCCTGACCACATTAAAAAAAAAAAAAA